CCCAGACCTGCGGCAAGACCTTCACAATTGCCCAGAATTGGTTTTGCTCTCAAATGCCAATGGGGTTTCCCAACTGAAAATTGGAAAAGCAAATGTAATTTTTTTTTTTTCCTTTCTATGTTCAACCCACCTCCAGAGCCAGATGGAGTGGGATGGATTTTAAAGTATTAAAGATATTCAAATTTCATAAGAAGGACAAATTTTCTACAAACATTTTTTGGTAGGTTGTCATATTTTTTTCCACCTGGCCTAATTGTCTGAATTTCACCAACTGCTTTATCGCATTGTAAAGCATTCTGGGGCTGACAGATGCTATTTAAAATCAAATTCTGCTCTTCTCTGCAGCATTGTACATATCCAAGAATAACCCTTCTATAAGGCATGCTACACAATATGTCATTGGTCCCACTCAGGCAAAAATCTAATTGACTTGTATAGTGCATGCATTTTGCAAAGTAACCAACTGAGCAATAGTCACCATATGAATGAAAAGTAATTACTTCTGCTGGGAAACTGAAGCCAGGACACAGCTTCCACAATACCTTCACCACAAGCCTGCATGCCTCAGTGCTAGAGAAACCCCATAGCTGATAAAATGCCCATAAGGAAATGGATGTGAAATCAGTTTAGTTTAAAACAAAATCCCTACAGTACTGTACTTTATCACTATTCTGGTGGGAAAAAAAAAGAAGAAGTAGATGTAGTGCTTCATTCCACACAATAGGATAACCAATAGGGGCAGAAACAGAAGGTTTGGGACACATGGGTTTATGTGGATCATATGACCTCAATATTGATCACATGTTATTTGCATGTGCTTGAAAAACTCGATCACACACATGTGAATCACATGTGAATAAATGAGATTGGATCCTACAGTCATGAGAGCTGCTTGAAACTCCATGTGTGAAATCAGTAGGCACAAGCCTTAAAACCACATAAGCTTTTAATGGGAGTGGAAGATCGCAGTGAAGAGTCTCGGCTGTTACACTAAAGGGTCGCATCTCTTTTCCTTGCTCAGTGTCCCCACCGTGTCTGCAACAGCAGTGCAATATGAAACAACAGTAAGCGAAATCAACATTAGTATCACCAGACCCCCTCTCACACCTACAGAAAGACCAAGCAATTGCATTGCTCCCTTGCTCTCATGAATGCAGCCAGGCAAACATACCCACTTGTTGCCCACCTGTTTTTTATCCAGAGCTTCTTGGGCTCTTTTGCACCTACCACAAACAAGCCAAGCTGCTCAGCTGCTGCATGAGCAGTTCTTCCCCCTTTCCCCATGGTGCCCTCAGTGCCGGGGAAGAGGCAGGCCAGGCAGGGCTGAGCACCAGGCACAGCTTTCCCCATCCTGTCCATGGTGGGCACAAAACCCACGTGCACTTTGGGGGCACAAGCTGGACCGTGCACGTCTCCTCTAATAGCCAAGGTTCAGAGCAAAGCTTGAGAGGTTGGAGGCCATTTCATATCTTTCCTCCCACAGGCATGACAAAACCTTCCCATGTCTGTGTATTGCCGAGCTTAGCTTAGTTTGCAGTTAGAGGACTTTCAGAAGCATAAATGAATGCTAATGAAGAGGGGTGAGGGGCTAGTTGGATATAAGGTTGGTACCCAAGGTTTCTAGCCAGAGCCAAGTAAAACCTCTTGTGTTTCCCAGGCTTATGTTCATTGGCCCCAGATGATGTTCCATGCCTGTAGCTGACTTCTGTGCATCCTACTTTTAATCTGACTGTTTTACCCATCTATTGCCCACCTAGTTCTCTATCCAGAGAAATCCCTATAAAGAAACAGTAGCTACATTACTGTATCTGAACTAAAACTCCAGAGGCAAACACTCCTGCTTTGCTGAATATTTGGATATGTTATGCCATCCCAGGAGGTGCTGGGCAGCTGCATGCAGGGGCTGTTGATCCAGGACCACCGCAGCCCCAGCTGCATTGCCAGACAGTGGAAAATCCCAGGCAGTGTCCTGCACCGGGCAGCAATGTCCCTGCTGCTCTTCTCCCTACAGTAAACCCGTGGCAGCCACCCCTTCCCACAGACTCAAGGTTTCCCCATGCACACACACCTCCAGCACTTCACATAGCTAGAAACCATCCACTAGTTCCTGGTCCTGTCTCCCAGCCTTCCTGCACTCCCTCTCTACTTGCCACAGCAGAAATAATCCCAGAAGAGAGACAGACACTGTGCAACTAGGCAGTTCCCTATAAGGACCACATTTTATGAACAAGCACGGGATGGACAGCTTATTTTGCCGGCTATGAAATGTGCTGTGGGCTTGAAAGGGATGCCTTGGGTTGTGGAGGGTGATGACAAGGTGGACACTAAATGCCAGGCCAGATGGATGTGAGTCTCCTCTTTCCTCGGGCTTTTGCAAGGCAATGGGAGAAAGGAAGTTTTTTTCCAGACCAGGATGGCAAGGTGCAACCTGCTTGTAGGGGCAGCCAGATCACTTCATGCAATTAAAGGACCTTCATCAAAGCCACAGGGATCTCCCAATCCTCTTCTCCAGTTGCAAGAATTGTGCTTTTCTTTAAAAAAAACAATAAAAAATAGGGAACAAATCCTGCTACCTCCTTGCCCTGCCTTTGCAGGGAATTGGCTGGTTCTCAAGCTGAAGGTGTCTTTTCATGCTGGACACCCTCATCCCTGCAGCCAGCCATCCATGTGCTCCTACCCATTCCCTGGCAGATCCACAGCAGCGCTCAGAGTCCATGGCCAACATTACGTCCTTCATTGCTGAGCTTCAGGCCTTGCCCCAATAAAGTCAGCCCAGCGTTTGGTGTAAAAGCTCAACTTCTGAAGCTACCACCTGCTCTAAGGACAGTTCATCTTCTATGGAGACCGCAACAACTTGAGGTGCCATCACCCTGTGCTGCCAATGAGCTCTGTCATGCAGGATAAAAGAAAGGACCATCCCTGCTGGGAAACTGGGCAAATTTGGCCTCAATGCCTTTCAGCCAAGGAGGATAAATAATGACAAAGAGGATGATGGACATGGTGCCACGTTTGAGAGGAACAGACGGGAAGGTGCCTGGTTGCTGCAGCAACAAGGCCGCGCTTTCGGAAAGATGGGTTTTTCTTTCTCTTTTCACCTGCCAATCTTCCCCCCACGTCAGCGCTCTGCTGCTGCGGGAGACGAGCAGTGACATTTACACTCCCACTAACAAGCTGGTTCAGTGATGGGCAGCTCTGCAGGAGAGCATCTGGTGTCACAGAGCCCGAGCGGAGAGGAGGGGAGGGTCTTCTCAAGCAGTTAGCATAATTTGGGACTTTTTAGTATTATTATGAGCATTATTAGGGCAGGAGCATGCACGGAAACAGCAGGCAAAGCCTCGGTGGGGCATGCAGTGTTCCCTGCCCTTCGTGTGGGTCTGGTTCTGCAGCTGATGGGAGCAATGAGATGCCACTCCTGCTCGGAGAACGTCTCTGCATGTCCTGCTGGGAGAGGGAAGAAAACAAAAAGGAAAAGAAAAAGGAGAGGATGAGCAAGAAGTCAAGCGACAACAGAGGAGCAATTTCATTTCTGAGCCTGGCTCATGAAAGCAGGCTGTGTCATCAGCCATGCCCCGGCAGTTTGGTGTTCCTCAGTGCCCTGCTGAAGCTGCCCATGTCTCTGGCTGCTTGGGAGAAACCTTGTTATGGTGACAGAGGTGAAACTCATGCTGCTCTGTCCCTCCCAGCAGGTTTGCGCACCGCTGTGCCTCACTATGTTTTCCTTTGCCTTCTGATATGACAACTTTCAGTTCACTCAAATTGTCCCAATAATAATAGTAATAGTAGTAATAACAGTAATAATAATAACAATGCTACTGCAAAGTAAATGCAAGAAAAATACAACAGCTCTGAAATTAATTGTATGAAATAGTGGTGCAGGAAAATGTTTTGGGTCATCTCCTCTCTCTTACTGGTCAATTTGCTACTGGCATCAGGAGGAAAGTGGAAGTTAAAACCCAGCAGCCCTTCCTGGCTGCCAGACTGCTCTGACATTGCAGCTGGCTGAGAAGGTGCCCTGTTGGACCATGACCCCCAAACTTGGGGTGGAAATACAAGAATATCGTGGCCAATAAAACTTGAAACTTGTGTATTTCCATGCCCGGCAGAGCCAAGGAAGCCAGGTTTCCTAACGATCTATGGCTGCAAGCCAAAGACCCATGTGGAGCCTCTGATGCCTAGTATGGATTGCACAGATACGTTTATGTGAGTGAGAGCATTAATAGGTTTTCTCTTCTCTACAGTGTCATTCTTTTTCACAAACCTGGAGGTTCCTGATAGCTTGGAGATCTTCACCCTTCTGTCAAATCAAGGTGGAAGTATGGGCTGAAAATTATTAGTAAGACATAGACAAATAGGCTGCTCCACATCCTTGCCTGTCCCCATCCTTCCCTCTTAGCACAGAACGTGCTAATCAGACACTTTTCATTAAGGAGTCAGGCTAAAAGATTAGGATGTCAAGGAGGGCAGCCCACCTCTAGTGTCTTTGTCCTTCCCTGAAGCTGGTGCAGCCCCCTCAGACTGAATTTGAAGAGGCAAAGTACCTGATGTGTCGTAACCCAGTTTTCTCAGAGTAATTGCTCTGCTTTTCTAAATCTTCACTAAAAAACTCCCTACATTTTTCACCTGGTGCTTAAAAGTATACCCAGTAATCTGCAGAGAAGAGATGACTGAACGTACAGTCAAGCTTGGGGAAAAAAATGGATGAAGGCAGGTTATAAAAGACCAGATAAATAATCCTTCAAATATGGAAACTGCAGAAATTAAGAGGGTATTTGCAGAAATCTCATTACAGAGAGCACACAGGAAGTATCAGCAAGATTACAAACTGACCAGTGTATGAAGGTTATACAAGGGAGAAACCAAACCTGTCTGCCAGCAGCAACCGTCACATCTGCAGCAGTGCAACGCACACAGTGACAGCAGCGAATCTCTTGGCAGCAATGTCAATCAGAAAGCATGGAAAATGAGATCACTTGTGCAGTTTTTTCCAGTGATCAAAACTCTTCAGGGGTTTACCCCTAACAAAACCTCAGTATCTTTCAGCAGAGGGTTCAGGATGGCAAGTTGCTCCCCGTGGCACAGGAGTCTGTGGCGAGAGCTCCAGCTGGGCAGAAGCTTTGCAGCTCACATGGGCAGTGGGGCCAGATGAAGGAGCAGTAGAAAAAACCCTTTTTTTTTTTTTAGTGTTCTTGACTGGAACCCTCTTTTCTTCCTATTAAAAAAAAAAAAAGTTAAATTCTCTCTGTTACAGGAGGGTTTTTTTAATTTTGAAAATTGAAATGGTTTCATGCTTTGTGGGTTAACTTTTTTGTCATCAAACCCTAATACTGCAAAAGAGAGAATCCTTTTCAAAATGTACTTGCCTGAAAGACAGTGCCAGTGCCAGGCAGACTGCTCTTGAATCAAAACCTTCCATGCTCATGTTGCTGTTTGGTTTTGGTCCCTTTCAACATTCATTCCAATATAGTTTTCTGCTTCCTGAATCCTTTCCCTTCCTGAAAAGTGTGGGTTGCTTATTGTAAAACCTGCCAAGCAAAGGAAGTGAGTCAACTGTCCTACAAGGGCAAGGAACAAGCTATGCCACCCACCAGTCCACGTGTCCATGGAGTAGCAGGGAACACCAGGAACCATGCAGAGGCTTCATTCCTGACTGCAGACACTTCTACAGGCATAAATATTATCCTTTAACTGTGTGGCTGCATCTCAAATGATCCATATGCAATTTTCCTCCCATGTCCAGGGAGCAGGGCTGTCAATGCTGGTTAGACCCTGGTTGCTCCAACAGATTGGCACTGACCAGTTGTGCTTGCCCTGGGGAATTGGTACCAGCAAATAGGTATCAAGACGATATTGCAGAGCAGCGACAAGCATGGAGCAGGGGACCTCTGTCTTGTTGCACTACAGAGAAAGCGTGTCCTAGAAAAAGGAGCCTGGTACATGGAGCTGAGCCAAGCTTTTGGGTCCTGCTGCTGCCCAGATTATCCCAACACCCCAACTCCACCTGGTCAGCATGGAGGAGAAGGCTTTGAGAGCTGCACTGAGTGACATCAGGGTTAGATGTTGGAGCTCGGTTTCCCTAGCAGTGAAATGAGTCTTTCTGAGACTTGTCTCTTTCCCAGAGAGCCGGGACAATTCATTAGGCAATTGTAAAATCAGAATGTAGCTGCTGACTGTGAGTTGCAGTCCATTAATAGCCCTATTTATTGCCAACCAAATAATTAGCTTAGACATGCATCAACGGATCTTGATTGCATATGAAATAAGTGCCTTATTACACAGAAATCAAATGAGTTTCTGAGGACAGCTCAGGTGTCACCTCAACTTCAGTATTGAAGAGGAAAAGGAAAAAAAAAAGAAAAAAACACAGCCATTTCGATGTGTTGCTCAGCAACAAAATTTGCGGGGGAAACAATCTAGGAATGAAGGAATGAGCATTTCCAAGAGAATGGGTTATTTCAGGCAAGACATCAGGGACAAGCAAATGTCACAGAGGCGGAGAACTTTTTTTTTTTTTCCTCCTTTAATCAATAATTTAAACCAGGCATTTTGGGTAAAATAAGCATTTAAGTTAGCTGATTGAAAAATGGAGATCCCAAACCTTTACAAAGAGTCACATTGCTGAAGAAATGTTTATTTGTTTGTGTGAGGGAAACATTAGATTTACTAGACACAATTAAAAATTGAAAATGCTCTTAGAAATGTCACCTGTTCATTTAAAGAAGGAGATGATGTAATGCCAACATTGCTATATTGTGCAGCATCCCTTCCGGAGCACTCTCATGTTAATTTTGTTGTTCTCCTTCCCACGTGCCCTCCCCTCCCTCCCTTCTCCTTTCTCTTCTAGGACAAGACAAGTGCGCTGAGTCTCAGCAATGTGGCAGGGGTTTTCTATATCCTCATCGGTGGGCTCGGACTAGCCATGCTGGTTGCCTTAATCGAGTTTTGTTACAAGTCCAGAAGTGAATCAAAGCGGATGAAGGTGGCAACCCATTCCCCGGCCTTTCACACCTTCTCTCTGATCCTACCCCGGCTCCAAAGCTGCCTTCAGAGACGGATGCAGCCCAGATCATGGGTGGAAAGCCAAGACATAGGGATAATGAAGTGACCTTGTCACTCAACTAGAAAGGAATAGGAGCGTCAGAGGAAGCTAAAAGAGGGTCAAGTGGGCCATAGCAGGGAGCTGATGCAAGATCAGACATGTTGCATAATGCTAGTTCAAAATCCAGATATAGAGCAAAATCATAGCACAAACGATAATGGGAACACATTGCCATTCCTTAAAATTAAAGCAAGCAGACTATGGCAATGCATGTGCAGCATGGATGAAGTATGCCAGGGTTGGTGTGATACAGCCATTACTGCAATAAAAAAAAAAAAAATCCCCCAACTCAAGCAGTTGACAGCAAGATAAAACTGGGGTAGTGCAGTAATGAAACAGATCCTGTTGTTTCCTTTGTTGGCACCATTTACAGGTTGGCAATAGTAATCCATGCTCAGAACGTTGTTGCCCTGGAATGTATTGATGTGGGTCTCCAAATTCAGAATTAGGGGTCCTCTTAGAGAGCAACTGGCCTCTAATGTCTCCTGTAAGACTTTTTTTTCTTCTGCCCTGTCATGGTCTTGCAGAAGTGTACTTCCTATGACCCAAGAGATTTGTTTCAGGCCTAAATTCTGGTGTGCCTAAATTTCAGAGTGTCATGTCAAGAGCGGATTAGATTTGAGAGCCTTGAGGATACCCATTTAATGCAGCATCTGTGGAACAAGTGCATCTTGACTCAGATGACTAGCAGAGGCCATCCCTTATACAGATACCGTTGTGTACAAGGGTGCAGCAGGATCTGTGCTCTAAGAGTAACACATCCCTTTTCTTCCTCATCTTGGTCAAGATGCTCCCATGAGCATGGAAGTCAGAATGAGTATATGAAGTATGCAGTGAGTTTCATAAAATTTAGAGAGATTTTCACTTCTCTGAGCACTGAAACTTACCCAGAATCAAAAGGAAAATAAGCAATTGTTTCTTTGGTTTTTATGTCACCATTTCACAACATGCTTAATGTTTTGTCAGCAATAATAACATTCCTAATTCAGTGAAAATGTGCAGTAGCTCTTTTCCCACTGAGGTTCAGAAAATTCTACAGGCAATGAGAGGTACATTGAGCACAGGGATAAGATAATGCAAGCAATTAATGTCCCTCAATATACAAAAATTCAATTATAATTGCTGTCTACACTGTAAAGCTAGGTATGTCACAAATGCACTGCAAAAGAGTGTCAGAATGCAATAGCTTCATAGTTTTAGTCTTAAGGAGATTCTGCCCTGGTATTGGCTTCCCTGTGTTTCTAGAAATGACCCACTAATTCTCATCAGTGTTAGTTTGCAGTGCTCTTGCCATGTTAAAACCAGCCACTATGGGAAGGAATCATTGCTCTCAATGTTAACATCAGCTGGCTCCCACCATCAGTGGCCACCCCACAAGGCCATTCAGCGGAGCCCAGGCAAGTGCCCAGAAAGATGGGTCAGATCCCCCTCTAAACCCAACCTCTGCTCAGCAAGCCCTGACAGACCCCCTGGGCGAGCTGCAGATCCCACCAGCACAGGAGGCTCCTCCATGCCTGGCAAGGCACTAAGTTGACTGTTTCTGAATAGCTGTTCCAGATTTATCTGGTTTGGATAATTCTTCACCTGGATATCCGAGTCCAGAAAAGATGATGGTGCCGTTAGAGATAGCTTAAATGCCAAGAAACCAAATGAACTTCATCTCTTAGTTTAATTGTTCTAAACAGGTGGTTTCCTTAGATCTCTGAAAGCAAACATTTTGGGCAGTATCTGGAACAGGAAAATGAGATTTGGGTTCCTGAATTAGGTTTGCATTTCCTGGTTACCTCAGTTGTCACTGTAGACAAAAACATAGGCACATGCTCAATTTCTCACATGAGGAGAGTTAACCATATGCTTGCAGTGAGTCAGAGTCCACCACACATAACAGTACTGAAGTAGTAATAGCATATCTATGGGGGAAGTGTGTATAATACCTCTGCTCAGATCCAGGATGTTCTTATGTTGTAGAGTTTGAATAGTTTTTGCATATGGCATGTATGCTTTGTACCCCAAAATACTGCTGAAACATTTAATGTTGAATGTAGAAGAGGTGCGAATTAACAGCAGATGCATTAGGGACATGCGGAAAGTGAGAGTCTGAATGAAGACAAGGAGGGAGAGAACAGTGACAGAAAGACAACACTGGTTTATATTGTAATTTCTCCAACATTGCTAAGGACAGGGGGAGACCCCCCCCGTCCTTCCTAAAAAGGGCTTTTGTTTAATCCCACAGCAATCAATCAATGAAGCCATACGGACATCAACCCTTCCCAGGCCAGCTGCAGCAGGAGGCAGTGGAGAAAACGGACGTGTGGTCAGCCACGATTTCCCCAAATCCATGCAGACGATCCCGTGCATGAGCCACAGCACCGGCATGTCCCTGGGAGCTACAGGATTATAATTGGCCTTTTGACCCATTGCCTGGGTGAGAGCCGGGGCAGCCCAACTCCACCCCCTCCAGAGCCAAAAACAAACCCAACACCAACAAGACAATGACGATGGCAGAAGGGACAATTGGATGGATCTTCTCAAGGAAATCAAATCTATTTCCCTTTTTATTTGCAAACAGATCCACCGGCAGGAGAACAGAAACAGGTCTGTACTGCAATAAGGAGAGTGTAATGGGATTTAACAGACTCGTGAACCGTCTGATCAAAGAACCAGTGGAACACTAATGAGGACTATGCCATTTTGTTTTAACTTGGTTGTTAATAAGTCTTAGTGTGTGCAATATATATATTTTTTCTTACTAATTCCTGTGGTGTCAGGGTAACATCAGCCCTTTCCCCCTTCCCTGCTCAGTCCTTCAATCTGGTTTAGTTTGGGATGCAAACCATAATGTCTGAGCTACTAACAGCAAAAAAGAAAATACGATAAATGGCAAGTTGAATTCCCTGCAGGGCATCAGCATTGGCCTCTTTTGTCCATCGTGATTCTGCCTTCCATTGTTCTGTTGTGAACTCGGGCTGTGGAGTTATTGCAACAAGGCAGACAGAGCTGCGAGCGTCTCTCCCTGCACCTGGAAGGACTTGATGCAAGAAAGAACCTGAACAGGGGCAAAGTTATGAGTGAGTTTGGAAACTCCAGGTAACCTGAGGACAAAGTGATAATTCTTGCAGAGATGACGACTGGCAGTTCAAGAGAAGAATCATGAGCCTGGAGTGGAGAGCGTCATGTGTGGCAGACTAGGGCAGATGGTTGGTCTAAGATCATGGTCAGCTGCTGTTTATGGAAGAGAGAAAGTAAATGCTGCATTCCCCTCACGTGCGACTCTCCTGCCTAGGTTATTGGGGGCTAATAAACAATTGTGAACCATTTCTTCATTGCTTAGCTTCTGTGTGTGCTCCTTTTCTGGTGGTCACATAAGGGAACCACCCTGAGCCGGGAATAGACCATCTCAAGACATCCAGTTCTAGATGGCTGCCTATTAACCAGTAAAACATGCTAGAAGTCATGGGGCTGCAATGGGAATATCCCTGCCTTTTCGCTCTGAAATCCCTTTATGGCCATTTTTCTAAATTAGAGGGACATTTTGTAGACAGTTGGCCAGAATGGCTTCCTGGAAGGAACTGCTGAAGCAAAACAAGGAGGAGACCCTACAAGAACTTCATTCAAGCATCCATGACATTCGACAGCATCAGGGCTGGTCAAACTCAGCCTTCCCGTCAAGTTGTGGCCTCTCTGGGTACAAAGCCAAAAGTAGCAGATTCCCAGTCATGCATCCTTAGGGAGGGGGAAGCATCCACAAGCCAGGAGAGCAGGTTGCTGACCCCAAACTCAGTATTGCAGAATCCCACATTGCCAGACAGGCAGCTGGGAGTCCAGCCAGAGGCATGGAGATCAAAGGGGCAAGGATGGTTTTCCAGAACTGCACAAAAGGTTCGTTCTGTGAATCACTGGCATGGACAGACAAATGCTTCCCACCCTGGTGGGCCTGAGACACCTCCCCAGAACTGAAGGATTCCCAGGGGAGCATCTGGAGAGAGAGAAGATCTGTGGGGCAGAGACCACAGTGAACCCACGTAGCCTTGTCCCATCTCACAGGTCCATCACTGATGGCAAATGAAGTTCAAAGCTTCTCACAGGACCCAGCAAAAAACTATCTGGGGACTGAGCTGCTATTGGAGTGTTCTGAGCTGCTTTTTCTCTTTTTTTTTTTTTTTTTCTTTTTTTTTTTTCTGCAACGTAGCAAGAGAGGAACAGGAAAAGAAGGGAGGCAGGTGAAGGGAAAGTGATGCAGGCAAATGACTGGCACAGGTCTATGAGGAGGATCTGTCTATGCAGCTGTCCATAAGTACAGCTGGAAGCTGCCTGAATACCAGTTTCCATTAGTGTACAAATGTGCAGAGCAATACATTTACCACCTTTAACACCAGCCTGGTCTGAAGTATCTGTTTCATTTACCCACTTGTCATGCAACACTTTGGAGACCAGCAAGTCAGAGTCAAGGTCCTAAGCTCGGGCACAGCATGTCTTGTGCCAATATGTTTTCCTCTCTCCACCACTGGAAACCCTTGTGATCTTCATCTTTCATCACCGAACATGAACTCTGTTCTCAGCCACTCCAAACACCTCTTCAGGTCACTTTGTGTTGGTTATCATTATTTTTAATCTGCTTTTCTTAATTTTAACTTAAGTTTTGAGTAAGTGCTAGCACAGTGGAGGCATCCAACAAGCTAGCCTGTTTCCATGCCCAGAGCCCTCGGATGCATCTCCTGACCCAGCTCTTGCCGCGTCCCAGACATTGCCACAGCAGTGCACTGCCGGGTGCTGCGGTGGGAGCAGGCTGCCGAGACACATCAGTGCCCCGTCCTCCTCCAAAGACAGGACCGCGTGGCAGCAGGTCGCGGGGAGCCCAACCGGGCAGTTAGACGGTCTCATGAGAAGCAGCGAATCTGTGCTAGGACTGGCCACCTGTGACATGAAGATGTGAGATGCAGTTTTCAAAGGCTTTTGATCAGTGGAGGAGTTTAAAAAAAAAAAAAAAAAAGATGAATAGGACAAAAGCGTGGAAAATGTTAACTTGTAATATGTATTTTTACTACACTTTTCTTAAAAATAGAGTAATGGTAAAACTCTTAAAGACATTGACATTTTTTCTCAACAGGAATCCACATTTAACAGTTTTGGCTTTCATTAAATTTTGCTCTTTGGTACCTGGATCTTTTATTTAACAGCTATATTTGTTTTAACTCTCTTTTGGTTTTTCTTTCTTTTTTTTTTCTTTTTGGCAGTACTGCAAAGGATTTTGCTTTATCAAACACAACAGTGTTTTTCTTTTCGCATTTTCTTTTTTTCAAGCAACATTTTTATTGGTAATTATTATTTACACAAAAATGAAACTATCAGCTGGAATTTTAGCACCAAGGATTCATGATCCATTTTTCATACTTGTCCATGCCATTTTGTGCCAGTGCTGGATGTGTGGAAATGAAAATGATGTTACCCCTCAGGCAATATTACCCGACCTGAACCAAACGAGATTTCCTTGATTATTGCTGTGTCTGACTTGTGAACAGCAGCCAAATAAACTGCTTCAGGTTGAAATTGGGAATCTATCTAATATTTACCCAAGAGTCAGGAAACTAAACATTCATTGGGCTCAAAGTTAATGATTTTGCTTCATTTGGACTTTCGTGGGGTTATTTTTTGAGGAGGGCTATTAGAGGACTTCAGTTTGTTTTTACAGAGAGAGAAGACATGGTCAGCTCGGAGATAATTCAGAACCAGCACTGGTCCAAAAATCCTCACCAGGATCAGCTTTCCTGGAAGCTCCCATGCTGTTTCAGAGGCTTGGACACTTTGTCATGTTTCTCACTCAGTTTTCACACAATTAACCTGCTAAATTACTCATCCAAAAGTCTGTTGAAGGGGGAAAGAGAGTAGGATTTTAAGGGCCTTGGACATTTATGCAGGTGCTGACAGCTGCTGAGGTTAACTGTAATCATTAATGTCATGCTCTCACATAGCGCTTGGTGTCACAGATCTTGAAGAACTTCCCTTCCCCATATCGTCATTCCCATTTATTGGCTGGGGAAGCTGAGACACAAGAGTGCCTTGGACCAGGCGTCCCAGCTCACCCTACAGGGCCATGGTTATAGATTCAAGGTCTCCAACATTCACAAGGGTTTTTTTTTACCCGCTGGTAAGTTTTAAAAGTAGAGTCAGCAAGGGGCAGAATTAATACGTTTTGAAAGGGGCTGTGAACCCTCAGGCTTCAAAGCACAAAAGACTCTAAATCAATGGGGCCTGAAGGAGAGGTTTCCCATGGGCAGGCTATGCTGGAACATCCCATTTTGGTCTTCCACAATTGCTTAGGCATCCAGTACTGTACTGTGGGCTTGGATCCTGTCTCAAAATGCTCTTACTTGCTGAGTGGTTCACTCTTGGTTCCCAGTGAGGTTGCAGAAATGCACAAGAAATGTTCCGTTATATCTTGGCATAAACAGGACAAAACTCCCTAAAAGCAAATACTACTTGTAAGAAAGTCTCCAGCAAGAATTCAGAACCATCTTCAGCAGTTGTTGAAACAAAAAAAAACCACCAAACATTGAACTGCAGCAGGTGAGGAACAGGTGCATCACTCAGTCCATTCCTTTGCTATGGGATGATAACCCTGGCATCAGGACACAAAGCTGGGATGCTCCAAAAAGATTTGGCTGGTCTTGTTTTTCCATGTGCCTACCTACCATCAAATACAAGGAGAATTTACTCATCTAAGTTCAGTGAAAGGAGAGGCAGGGGCGCATCTACCTGAAAGGAAGTTGTAGTGAGGTGGGTGTTGGTCTCTTCTCCCAAGTAGCTAGCGATAGGACAAGAGGAAATGGGCTCAAGTTGCGTCAGGGGAGGTTTAGGTTGGATATTAGAAAAAATTTCTTCACGGAAAGGGTGGTCAAGCATTGGAACAGGCTGCCCAGAGAGGTGGTGGAGTCATCATCCCTGGAGGTATTCAAAAAACGTGTAGACATGGCACTTTGGGACATGGTTTAGTCTAGTCTACCCTTAATTGGTTTAGTGGCGGGCTTGGTAATGTTAGGTTAATGGTTGGACTGGATGATCTTAAAGGTCTTTTCCAACCTAAACAATTCTATGATTCTATCAATGTTTGCTGTAACCCAGTGGGTACCACTAACCTGTTCAGCTCCAGCAACTCAGCCACATATCTCCATCAAAAGTTTTGGGAGACATGGGGAAGTTTTCACTGTGAACACAGGCTTATGTTCAGTTTTCAGTGATGTGGTCTGTCACCCAAGTCTCACACATGGCTCTGGGTCCCCAGGAGAACATTTTTGTGCACGTTTCTAACTAATGTGTCGGTCCCCCATGGAGGCACATGTCAGAGCTTAGATGACCCATCACAGTGGTGTGTGGTACCCTTAGGACACTGCTGGTACTCTTCACTGCCATGGCACGAGAAGTAACAGCTCAGATTGGGGCTTAGCTAGTGGAGGTTGCTCTGTAGCACCACCTCGGAGACTGGAGGAGATGGGTTCAGGCCCTTCCCATCAGCAAAGGTGCCAGATTAACCCCAAATACCTTTTAGAGTCCTGTGTGGCCTGTCATCTGATGGCTTTTGTAGCTGCTGACCTCTCTTAAATATAGATTCCCCAGTTGCCTTCATGTTACCTATGGGCACAAATCAATTTGTCAGCGACCAGTGCTGGTTTTGTGTCTTGGCAGCCCACTGCTGGCTGAAAGCCCCATGCTTGCATCTCTGCTACCCAGTTAATTAATTATTTAACA